GTTTTCATTCCTTCAAGGATTTAGATGTTATAATTGCATTTTTAGCTTTTTAGTGGTTACCCTTGACATTTTCCAGTGTGGTTAACACAATCCAAATTTGTTCAAACTTTGTCCCTACCTCTAATCAAATATAAAGGCCTCAGAGCATTTGAACTTAATTCATTATTCAGTTAATTACATGCCATTGTTGTCCGGTCTCTTAGGAAGTATTTTAGGAAATATATAAGTGGATATTATTATTATTTTATATAGAATAAATCTGCTTAAATTAGCTTGCATGTTCACCATTTCTTTGCTCGATTTCCTTATTCTTGCCAGATCCTCCTCTAAAATCATGTTCCTTCTATTTCAAGAGTACTTCTTACAAGCTTTTAAGGGAAGAACTGTTTGTAAATTCTATTTTTGTTTATCTAAAACATCCTCATTTTGCCTTCATTCTTAAAAATTGCTTTTTTTGGATTTAAAATTTGAAATTGACAATTATTTTCTCTCTGTACTTTCAAGATATTAGGCCAGGATTTAAAAAGTTTCCACTGATATTGTTCAGAAGTTTGTTACAATTTCACAGTCATTTTGGGGGTGGTTCTTTGAGTGCCTTCATGTGTTTCAACACAACTTTCTTTTTTTGCTACCAGGAATCTAACTCAGGACTTTGCGCTTGCCAGGCAAATGGTGTGCCACTGGGCTATACTCCTGACCCTCAATATAACTTTTCTTTTTTGTCTTGTTGAGACAGGGTCTCACTATGCAGTTCAGGCTGGCTTTGAGCTCACTTTGTAGCCCAGGCTGGTCTCGAACTTGCAACGATCCTCCTGCCTCAGCCTCCCAAGTGCTGGGATTACAGGAGTGCGCCACTACGCCAAGCTGTCAATACAACATTTAAATTCAATTTTCTGCCTGGTGGTATACATTGTGCTTTCTGGTCTTTTGGATTCCAGTCTTTCATTGATTTTATTTTATTTTTTTGTTTTGTTTTGGTTTTTTGGTACCAAGAATCGAACTCAGGACCTTGTGCTTGCCGGGCAGGCACTTTTGCTGGAGCTATAGCCCCAGCCCTTTCATTGATTTTAAAAAGCCCTCAGGTATTATCTCTTTAAAATTTGCCTCTCTGCCATTCTTTCCTCCTGAAAGTCCAGTTATCAGTGTGCTAGACTTTTTAAAAGTCTTATATCTGCTATGCCGTTTAACTTTGCTTTAATATTCTCTATCCATTTACCCTTTTCTGCCTTCTGAGTAATTTATTCAGCTCTGCTAAGAATTCACTAATTTCCTTCAGTATTCTGTTAAATCCACCACTTCCAACAGTTTTTCATTTCTGAAAGTTCTGTTTATTTCTTTGGGCCTGGTCCTTCCTAGCACCTTATTGCTTATTTTTTGAGACTCTATTTTTTAATTCTTTAGATTTTTAGTATGTCACTATCCTATGTTTGACGGTACTATTCTTTTACGTCTTTGGAGGTAGTTTCTGCTGATTCTCATCTGTGGTTTATTAATTGTGGGTATAAAGCTCCTATTCAATTGGTATGAACTGAGGTTATTTTCCACTAGAAAGGACTTGAATTTACTTCTGCCAGGAGCCAAGGAGAGCTGTTTGTTTACTTGTGTGTTCCCATTTATTTTCTGCCCTGCTGACTTCCCTTACCCCGTGAGAGTACAACAGTGCCTTAAAAAGTATGTCTTTTGTGTAAGACCTAGTTGTTTTGTAGGAGGAAGACCCTTTAGGAAGTGGAAGCCCTAATGAATTCTCTGGTGGAGAGTGTTCCCTGTTCACTAAAATTATATTTTCAAGGGTAGGCTCTGCATAGGATGGGAATTATAGAAATAAGCTAGGTTTCTAGCTCAATAAATGAAATCGATACTCATTAGACAGAGGCTGCCTATACCCTCCATGGGCGGTTGGCAGTGGTGATGTTCTGGTTGCTTGGCTCATCCCAGGTTCCATTTGTGACTGTTCATTTCTGAACAGAAAAGAACCAAAACTGAAGCCAAAGTATTTCTGAGTAACTATTAGAGATCAAACTGAGCCAAGAAAATCTATCTGGGTTTATTTTAGAAATCTGGGGGGTAAACAGAATTTCACTGAACAAAACCCACTTGCACTCTTCCCGGGAAAGACAAGTAGACCCCCCCAAAAAAATTATAACTAAGTTTTTTAAAGCCCTTGTATGTTTTTCTTATCAGATGCCTTTTCATCTTCTCCAACAATTAATTTTAACCTTCTCATTCCTTTCCAGTCTCAAAGCCCAACCCTCTTCCTTCCCTGTCATCCTCGGCAGATGGCAGTATTCTTCATGAAGGATACAGAAGGGGCTGTTTTATCAAAGATAAAACCCTCATTGGCACCTTTCCTTTTCTCCTTCTCTCCTAAGTTTTAATGGAAAAGCTCCCCCACCTGCACTGTAAGTGTCCTGTTCTGGACCTCAGCTTCTCCTATACCCACTCGGACCCTGGTTCATGCTCATTCTTTGTCTGTCCGGTAGGGTTTGGATAGGGTGTGTTCCCCCAAAGGCTCACTGTGTTGAAGATTTGGCTCCTGACGGACTCTTGGAAAGTGATTGAATCATGAGGGCTCTGACTTCATGTGCAGATGAACCTGTTGATGCGATCATAATTGGATGGCATTATGGCAGGTTATGGAAGCAGGAGATGGGGTCTGGTTGAAGGGAGTGGATCATGATGGTGTGCCTTTTGGGACTACATCTAGTCCCTGTCCCCTTCCTCCTGGCTCTCTCACCCTCTCTGCTTCCTGTCTGCCATAGGCTGAGCAGTTTTCCTCCACCATGCCTTCTTCCATGATGTTCCTGCTTCTACACGGACATAAAAGAAATGGAGCCTGTGAACCAGGGCCTGCAACCACTGCAACTGTGAGTGGAAAGAAACCTTTCCTCCTTTATGTTGATTTTTCTCAGGGATTTTTGTCACAGGGAAGAAAGCTGAGTAACATGGTCTTTTTCTGTATTATGCCTTCATCCACTGCTGTTCCTCTTATTCTTTTCCAGAAACGTTTAAAACATGTTCAGAGCCAGGGAAGAATAGTCAACCCTTCTTTGTCTCTCCCTCCCGCTTCCAGTTACTACCCTTCCACTCTTCTCTGTTTAGCCTGGTCGCAAAAGAGTTGCCCAGGATTCTTGTCTCCATCTCTTCTTACTCATCTCCAATCTGGATTTTACCCCTAACAATACACTGACTTTCTCACCACTAAGTTTCCATGTTGCCAGATGTACTCAACACTTCCTAGCTTTTGCTCTACTTCTATATAACTTTTAACATAGTTTCATGCACTTACAGTCAACACACACACAGGGCTTTAGCATTTATCCCAAAATATCAGTTATAAAGCAAGAGGGTTGTATTAATCAGTTGTCACTGTGACAAAATACCTGAAATAGTCAATCTATAAGGAGGCAAGGTTTATTTTGGCTCAGAGTTTGAAAGGTTTTAGTCCATGATTAGCTAGGTCTGTTGGTTTTGCACCTATGTCAAGGGAGAACAAACCTGCAGACATTATGGCAGCCAGGGGTGTGGGGAGAGGGAGGCAGTTCACTAGGCTGGTTAATACTGTTTACTTGAATATCACTGTATTTATCTTAACCTCAACTTCATTATTTAATATATTATTATTACTATTAATAGATTAATAGATTTAATAATTTAATCTTTGTCTTTATGTTTCAATTAAAACCCTTTGAGAAAACATATATGCAGATATGTTATATTATTTCTAAATTTTATTTACGATGAGTAAACAGTGATTTTCAGTGTATTTGTTAGGCAGAGGTTGGTGCTGGTCTGATGGGACTGAGGATTTCTGCTCTGTTGGTGCCAACTTCCTCTTGTCCAGAGACCAGGAAGTGACCCAGCCGCAAAGAGCTGCTCTACCCGGGGCCAACTGCACTGCTTTTGGAAAACATTCAGTTTTCCAAACAGCTGACCAAAAACTCCTGATGAGTTATTTTGATCTCTCCTGAGTTCTTACGTGGGGCTGAGTAGGGGTATTTCCCATTGATTTTATTATGTTTATGAGCTTCACGCTTCTAGCATTAAGTGTGGGAGGACAGAGAATAGGAAAGTGAACCCTGAAGCCCAAGATTTTTCTCACTCTGAACATTTTCTCCCAGTTATTTCCTGGCCACAGGTCTTTCTATGGAAAGCTCTTACAATGGACCCATAATGGCAAAGCCCTCTTTCGGTTATTGTTCTCTTTCTAGAAACAGTTTTTAGCCACTAGACTGCCATAGGTTTTCTTATTTTCCTGCATCCAACTAAGAGCATCTGGTGCCTCTGTGGAAAGCTTGGCTGCAATGGCAGGGAAGTGGTCTCCTGATGGACCCAGGGCTGCATCCCAGGGGTGTTGTCCATGTGGCACACAGTGCAAGGCTGTGCATCTGAGGCCAGGGTCCTTCTCACTCTGCCTTCATGGGAACAGCTCAGTGCACAAGAACAGCTGGCCACAGCGAGACGGGGACTTGGGGAAGGGGAAGGGGCCAAGACCCGTGTGTGTGCTGGTTTGTGTGCCACAGACTACAGCACAGCAGAAACAAAAGAGCCAACCGAGTCCTGCTTCCTCAGTGTCCAAGGGTCATCTCCATTAGTGTCACCCAGGAGCTTGTCAGAGATGAACAATCTGGGGCCTCCTCCCAGGCTTGTGCATCACAGCGTGCATCTGAACCACACAGTCATGAGCCTCAGAGGCACATTATGGGGTGAGGAGCCCCACTGTCCTTAACTACTCAGCCTTAGCCTTCGGAGCACCCCCAGAGCCTCCTGTGCTGCCTCACTGGCCTGGGCTACTTGTGTCATCTCCAACTCAGCCTGAGTCTCCTGATTCCGCCCATTTCTCCCACTGGCCTGTCACTGTGTCTGCGTGTCTGCCCTTCCTCAGTGGCTGGACCTGGCAGAGATCACTTCCTAGCACTTTATGTGCTACTCAACTGAGAGCTAGCTCCGTCAGAAGGCAAAGAACCCTCGGGCACGTGATCCACACACCATACATGAAAGCCTGAAGTTTATGGCAGGTTAGGTGTTTATTTTTGCTGCTTCTTGGACAAGTTCTACAAGGTAAGAATAAAACACACAGATTCTTTCAACAGCATAGATGTTTACAAGCCAACTTCAGACTGTGGCATTTAGGATTCCCAGAGTATGTGGGTTGAGGCACTTTTGTACCCAGAGGCAAGTAGACTTTGCCAGGCTGCAGCGAGTGACTCTCCATCTTGAGGATGCTGTTGCCAGCTGCCTGGTGAGGTAGGGAGGAGCAGCAGGAGACACGGGGTTAGGGCCAAGCGCACAGCCCACCTGCCTTTCATGAGAAGATTGTTCGGTTGGCAGATGACAGATCTTGTGCTCCACCCATTCCCTCTCGCCACCTGCCTTAGAATCACTGCTGCCCGGATGAACACTTTCAGCAGGGGGTGGGTGGGGAAGGGAGGAAGTACCCTGGCCTTTGCTCTGTGTTGGCGTCTTTGGTAAAAGGAACCATCCCTGGGCAGGGAAAGCTGGAGAAGACAGGAGCCAACACCCACTGGGGTCGGGATCTCTGGAGGGGGGTTTCCCTGTTCCTTCCATTAGCAGGGAATCCATGGGACCTCTGAAAAAATGCTGAAGTAGCTACCCCCTTTCTTCCTTTCAGTGAGTCTCTCATGGCCCATGGCTGGCGCTCCCATCAGGGCCAATTTATGCCTCAAGATAAGCACCTGCCACCCAGCTGGGAGTGGCAGCTGGAAACACCTGCAGGAACCGGATGGCCTTTCCCCATCAGTCACGGGCCTAATGAGAGGCTCTGCACTGGGCTTCCTCCTTTCTCTGAGGGAGCCCAAGTCTCTCAGGAGACACAAGTGCATGGAGTGCTCCTGGGGCCAGCAAGGCATCTCCTTTTCCCCACTCTCTGGCTGGCCTTTGCTCAGCACCCTGTTCTATCAGAGGACGCCTGCTGGCCCAGGAAGAGCCCCACAGGGACCTACATATTTGCAGGTGAATTTTTGGTAGCAGATCACCCTGGTTGTGTGGGGGTTTGAGGTCTTGGCCTGAGGATAGGTAGCTGCTTATCCACTTTCAATATTAATCAGTGACGGGTGTCATGGGACTGAAGACAGATGTCCTGTGGCCCTGGTTGTGGTCTGGCCTCTTGTGCTTTGGGCCAGTAGTGTTTTCCATTTGTACCTTTGGCAGAAAAGTCCCTCCTAGCTGTGTGAAATGTAACGTGGCCATCTCCCGCTTCATCCGTCCCTATTCAAGATCCCCATTGGCGGCCCAAAACTGTGAGTACTACTGAACTCCCACTGTATATGCTCTAGGTTTCCTAAACATACAGACCTATGATAAGGGTTAATTAATGAATTAGACATAGGAGACTAGTAAGTAGTAAAATAGGCCAGTTGTAGCAATATACGATAATAAAATACGTGGACAAGGTGTCTCTCTTGAAAGAGTCAGGACAAATACTGATATTTTCAAGACTGCAGTTGATTTTGGGTATCTGAAACCGAGGAAGGCAACACTGGGTAAGGGGGAGGCTGCTGTATCCCAGTGGGAGGAGCTTGGAGTCCATGTTGTTTTCTGGGTGGTCTGAGGCAGCACAGGATACCTGAAGGGGTCCCTGTTACCCTGAGATCTTTCCACAAGGCCAACCTAGTGAAGACAGCCCTCAGCCCCATCAGGGCCAAGAAAGGGTGCAGCTGTGAGGCCCAGTGAGCATGACTGTGTGCCCTCCCCTGGGCTGATGGGTAAGAGGTCTACTCTCCAGCTTCTGGGAAAACATCCAGAGTAACAGGGAAAAGGTGAGAAGGCACAGCGGCTTAAGCAGTTCTCACCACCAACCTAATGGAGGGAGAGCAATTACACTTGTTCTCGAAAGCAGGTTCATTAGCGGCTCCAGGAGGAGGTGACTTCACACCCACGCAGGAGGATCCATTTGCAGGCTTTGTGGTGATTCCTCACTTTCAGGGGTGTGGGAGGAATCTCCCCAGCTCAGTGAGGATCAGGTGAAACAGCTTCAGTCCCTAACTCTCATCTGGAAAAAACTCTACCTGGAAAAAGCCCGGCCTTCAGTGTCTCCCGGCACAGACCCCAGGTTCACGCCCTACACCGCTCCCCACTCAGAGGACTGGAAGAGCTAGTTCTCCGGCCCCTGTGCACTGGTGTCTCTTCAGTCCTGGGGGCCTAGGTGGGCTGCAGGCAGAGCTATCAGCTTTGCCACCACTTAGTCACAACTCTGTGGGTGCCTGGAGCCTTGGGAAAGTAGCCAAAGGGAAGTGGAGGAGGTAGATAAAGGACGGTACTCACCAGGGTCCACAAGCCTGTTCTGGGCAAAAAGTGTGTGTGTATCTCTGCAAAGGTCACAATAGCACGCTCCGCTGTCTAACATCTGGCACTTGCTTTTAAATCTACAAGTTGGAATCTCAGGCACCCAACTTTTAGGTAAGTAAGTATAACCTCAGGTTCTGCTTTATATATATATGAAATATATGTACATACCAATTGCATGTATGTGTGTGTCATTCTGACTATTACTGGACACATTTTCATACCAGGACCACCTTGAACCACCCATGTGTGCACACTTACTCTGCTCTGCACCATCCAGAAAAGAAAACTGATAGTGACTCAGGGGGCTGAGCTGCCTGCACCTGGTTTAAGGCGCTGGGCACAGGCGCCTTACACGTGGCTCGTTTTTTCTGTAAGGACAGAGTCAGTTGGCAGCATGAACTTGACCGCGCCATCTTTCTCCCAGCCTCTTCGGATCTTAGCGAGTCTGCGGCTGATGCAGGGCAGCAGGAACAGGCCCTTGGCCAGGATGATGACGCAGGGCACCAGCAGCGTGAGTGTGAAGGTGGGCGGCAGGTAGAACTTGTAGCGGCTCTCCTCAAAGGCGCGGGTCCAGCCGTAGGTGAGCGTGTGCAGCGTGCTCAGTACCAGGGCTACAAAGCCCAGTGTGGACTGCGGAAGAAAAGAAGGCCGGAGTGAGGCCGAGCAAGGTCAGATAGGGGCCTTCTGCTGCCTGGGTGAGGGGGACAGGTGAGATTCAGATTCGAACCCCAGCCCTATCATTCTGCATACTGCTCTGGAACTCTCAGAGCCTCATGATCCCTAGCAAAAAAATGAGAATCATATTTCTGTACTGAAGGTGCATAAGGATCTACTCTTGCACATCGAATAGTGATGCTTTTTTCCCCAGCAGCTCGTGTGGCTGTTGGATGAATTTAGATGGAATTTTGTTCAGGGTTCAAAAGCATTTTACTAATTTTGTGTATACTTTTATGTAGGTTAAAGTAATATATCTGCTGGCGTACCCAAATCACAATTTCACAGGTACTGGGTGGCCTGTGAAAGCAAAAGGTGGAGCAGAAAAGGAAACTGATTTTATATTGACTTAAAGAGAAACACAAAGTAACTAACTCACACTTGGCACGTGGACTTAGCCCCAACACATGAGTGGCTCCAAGTCTGGGTAACCTGGCACCACACAGAAGCCCACCACACCCAGTGGACACTCTCTGCCATGTCACACTGAGTTATATGTGCCCCAGATGGGTGCCTATCCCCACCACCAGGCCTGCCCTCTGCCTGGACAGGGATGCATGACTGTGGGGGGAAAGAGCACTAGCAACTCTGAGTGGAAAGGCCTGGGCTTTGTTACGGTCGGGCTCCACACGCCTGAGGCATAGGAGGCTTTTGTGAGTCACTGCCCGAGAAGAGCAACTCCTCTGTCTTTGCTCCAAACAGGACTTTGTACCTGAGCTGCACTGTGAAATACCCTGGAAGGGCTGCTCAGACAACTCCAGCCTCTTTTGCCCGCAAGCAGCCTCATGGACCACAAAGGGGAGAGGCAGATTCTATCGCTGGTGCTAGTTCTGACTGCCATGACCCTACTTGATCAGCCTCTGTGGGAAGCAAATGCTTCCAAAAGCCAGCTTCAGAGAGTGCAGGACCGGAGCAGAGGGCGCTGGGAATCTGAGCTGAATGGGAGGGGAGGAGCAGCTCTGGCAGCTTCAACTGTATTCTGTGAGCACTGGAGTTACTGAAGATCTGGGGTGAGAGAGACCTGTATTTATGATATCAGAAATGAAAATAACAGTGACTCGTCAAGCAACGGACACATATACATTTTCTCCAAGGAGATGCTGCAGAGGTTTACTTTAAATGTTGCGGTAAGCTGATACCTCAGTATGGTCTTTATAGATTGGCTTGGAGATTTCTATAAAGGCTACAACTGGGTCACCTACATTCCTAGCACTGTGTCAGTATCAACCAAGGAGTCCAGCTGAGAGAGGCTGTCTGTCTGTGCTCTCCTCAGACACCTTTCTAAATGGGACTGGGTGGCTAGGAATATAGCTCAGTGGTAGAGCACCTGCCCAGCATATGCAAGGCTCTGGATTCAATTCCCACCGCTGCAGAATAAGTAAGTAAAAATGAATGAATGAATGAATGAATGAAGCTGATTCAGCATTGTCTTGTTTAAGCTACTTCCTGGAAAGGAGGGAGTATTCTGTGGTACCTGCACTTGTACAAACACCAGGACCATGAACTCTGGAGAATGAAAGACTACCAGTCAGAAGAATTGCTTGTGATGCTTTTGCTAGATATAATAATAAGCATTTTCTAATGGTTATACACTATAGTTTCACAGCCTTGCAGGTACAGTTTTGCCCCAAATAAAATACCCCAATAAAACAAGCTCTCCTTCCTTTAGTCTCTGTCCTTCTTGGCCATCTCCGATTGTTCTTGGCTTTGTGTCCGCTTCAATGATCTCATTTCATTCTTTTTTTTGGTTTTTCTCCGGTACTGGGAACCGAACTCACGACCTTGCGCTTGCCAGGCAGGCGCTTTTGCCGCTGAGCTAAATCCCCAGCCCCTCTCATTTCATTCTTAATGACTTTCTCAGTGTGGCCATTTGGGAAGCCGTGGTTGACTCTGTGATATTCCCTACAATTCATTTATATGACATTTTAATGCCATATCCCCAAATGGAAGCTTCCCTGACTGCAAGTCACATGGAACCAAACCCTTGTCACTCTCAGAAGTGTTTGTCAAAACTTCCAACTCTGAGCCAGGCATGGTGGCACACATCTGTACTCCCAGGACTCTGGGAGGCTGAGGCAGGAGCCTGTATTGGGCTAGTGACTTAGTGAGATTCTGTCTCAAAATAAAAAGAGGAGGACTGGGGATGTACTTCAGTTCAAAGGCCTTTGGTTCAACTTCAGTACGGCAAATAATACAAAACAAAACGAACCTGCAACTTCTGAGCCATACCAATTTTTCTAAATTCTAATTTCTCAGCATGGAAGTTTGGTGGGGGTGGGATTTGTTTTAAAAAGACCCCAAGTGCTGACCATAGAGAACAAGCCTTGAACAGCCAATTGACATTCTCTAGGCAGGTGTCCAGCCCCGGCTAGTGATCTTCCTACTCCTTGGTGAGTTCTGGAGCTGCTGAGATGGCTGCAAAGTACCTTTAATCCCTGAGAATTGCTCAGTCTGAGACTGGTTTCAAACCTCAGCTACATGTTAAAATTACTTGGGGAGCTTGGAAAAATATGAGTGCCCAAGCCCCATGCCTGGAAATTCAGATTAAATCAGCTTGGGGTGGGGCTCAGGCATCTGTTGTTTTTCAGAGTTCAGCAGATGATGCTAATGAGCAGCCAGGACTAAACCACTAATTTTGGAAACGCTTATCACCCACGCCCTTCTAGTCTGAGGTTGAAAAGTCCACACAGGTCTCTATGCCCAGCTGTTTGGTTAGGGAGGACTTGCACCTGTCTGCTCTTTAGACAAACACCCACTGAGGGCCTTTTGGTTCCCACATGTTGTGTCATGGGCTTTCCCAGATGCACAGCAATGGGAACCCACCCAGGTCTAGGACGGTAGCCCCACTGAGGCCTTAGCGTCTCCCGTAGGGGACACGTGCTATGGCTCCAGTGTGACCCATGTGGGCCACTGTCCCCAGCCCCTCATTTAGAGAGTGACAGATGGACACGTGCAGCCCTACAGTGGGAAGACGTGGACGCACTCTGCTCTGGAGTCAGCCAGATCCTCCCGCTCATACATTTGTATCCTTTGCCTTCCAAAACTTCAAGGTATGGAGTGCAGAAGCCCCAGCCTCCAGCTAATGGTGCACAGCAAGGCCACACAGCCAAAGACCAGCCAATAACAAAGCCCTTTGACTTCCCAATCCTGGTGGGAAGCCTCAATGATTCCTGAAACTCTCTCTCCGTGGGAACAATTTAAAAATCCCAGTATTGCCGAAAGGAACCAAAACGAAGAGGAGGGATTGTCATGGGGCAATTAATAACCCCTCAAACTAGGGCCATTTTTATTATACGGAAGCTTGTTAGCAAAAAAGGAACAGCCAGGTCGTGGGTGGCTCCTGCTGGTGCTCAATTATAATGGCGCGAGGGGCACTGACAATCGCTCACCAAGCTGGGGTCAGGCTGCTCTGTCATTACTTCAGGCGAGAGGCTGGAGGGAACAAGGTCACTGAATGTTCCTGTATCGCTGGGACAGAATTTAGGTGCTAAGAGCTGAATCCCAGCTTTCTGTGTGGGCCAGCTACTCCCAGGTTTTGCAGTTTAATGATGTTTAACTGGCTGAAATGCAAACAGTTAGCATAGCCAAAGCCAAAGCCAAACACCAAAAACACGAAAAACACCAAAAACAAAACAAAACAACAACAACCACCCCCCCACCCCGCCCCAAACTAAGAGTTAAAACTCTGAAAACAGCCTTGGACACAAAAGGATAAATGGAAGCATAAGTCACCTTTTTGTGGAATCAACACATTGCAAACAAAATATGACAGACCCAGGGTTCATTCCAGGCCCTTAACAACCAGTTTCTAGGCCCCGGGGCAGTGTGGCCATGCATGGTGGGGGAGGGGAAGTAGGGGCCGGATAGCTCCTCACTGGCCATGCTAACTTCACAGAAGGTTGTATCTTCCCTCAGAAATTATCGCCTGGGGAGGCAGCTCTGTGGTAGAGCACTTGTCTAGCATGTAGGGAGGCTGTGGGTTCAATCCCTGGTACCACTCAGGAAGAAAACATACAGCCATTCCTGGGTTCATGGGTCCAGTGTTCTACCTCGTTTCAATGACTACATGGGAGAACACAGGCGCGGGCAGGAAACAGTGGTCCTGGGAGGCCGAGGAACAAATCAAATGGTGCAGAGCCCATAAATGAGATCTAGGGGCTGACCCAGCTCTACTGCACTGCCTCCAGTGTGCCACCAGAGGGCACCATGCAAAGCAGTGTGTGTCCCTGGGGGTCACCCAGAGTCCTAGAGCCATCTCTGAACATCTGAGTCCATAGGTGGGAGGCAGGCCTGGGCACCTGTATCCTTCCAGGAGTGCTCTGTGGCTTCAGACCTTGCTGATGGAGGCTCATGATAAGAAGTGCATGTTAGTGCCCAGTACACTGCCAGCTCTAGCACATATGTATATTCAACTATTAAATCAATGGAGTTAACACATCTATCTGTACATCATGCAAAGAACTTTGATGTTTTCTTTGATGTTTTTTGTTTGTTTGTTTTTTGAGACAAGGTCATGCTATGTAGTGTAGGCTGCCCTTGAACTCACTTATTTAGCCCAGGCTGGCCTTGAACTCCCTGCCTCAGCCTCCCAAGTGCTGGGATTATAGCAAGACTTTGTCTCAAAAAGCAAAACAAGCTGGGTGTGGTGGCACAGGCCTGTAATCCCAGCACTCAGGAGGCTAAGGCAGGAGAATAACTGTGAATTTGAGGTCAGCCTGGGTTACATAGTGAGACCCTGACTCAAAGAAACAAACAACAACAACCCCCACCACCAAAGCAAAGCAAAACAAGAAATAGGTGGGTGGCAGCTTAGTCAAGGATAATAGAGTGTGGCCAGACCCCCTAAGAATAACAGCAAAATGCTATTTTTCTTTCACACATAGTCCGGGGACCTGGCAGTGGCTCTTCCATATTGATTTTCTTGAGAGACAAAGCTAGCTTTTGTGGATGGAGTGCAAGCATTTAATTTCCACAAATAAAATCCCATCCTCTCACCCATCCACTCCCCCACCCAGCTCCTGCAGTGGCAAAACGACTTCCACGTTTTCATTGCGCTCTTCAATATGCAAAGCAGAGCCCAGCTGCTGGGGTCCCAGGCCATTTTCTAACAAAATCAAATCCACAGGCTTTCTGCAGCAGCCAGAGCCAGGCATGTAATCTACACTGCTTAAGGGAGCAACTTTCTGGTGAGGGAGTTGCCTGCAGTCTGCTTTAATTGTGGACAAACTGTGCACCCCGGATACTCCAGGCGGGAACAGGAAAATCCTAGATTTGGGTGTGAGGCACGGGGGGATTAGCGGCAGATCAGTAAAACGCCTTTCCCTCACCTTCTTATGCCAGCATGTGCCAGCCTGAGCCCTCCTCTGGGGACTTTCTGAGACGAGCAGAGCCCGTGAGAGTCATAGGCACACTTAGAAAAACAACCAAGCCCGTTTTGTTCTGTGGTACGCTAAGGGTCCCCAGTCACGAATAATTAATCTGGATTACATAAAAGCAGTGTGCTGTCACCGTCCCTCTGAGTCCATGCGGCACACAGAAGACACTCGACAGATTTCTGTTGACAGTGGGGGTGGAGACGATGGCTGTTCTCTGCCCTGATACAATCCGAGGCGGCATCCAGCATTAGTCAGCCTCTTCCACAGGAAGGGATGAGTTAATCCGCCAACACTGGCCTCGTGCTTGGTGCAGGGGACAGTGGGAGGTGCCGAAGAAGGGTCAGAAATGTCCCCATCCCAGTTATTTCCATTACAATTGAAACAAGGCTCTGCCTGTCCTGTGCCCTCTCAGATTCCAGACCTAGTGAGGCGCCTGGCATGCAGCAAGTACTCAGTAAATGTTTACTGCAAGAGGAAGTGCACAGAGACCTCTGGGCCACTGCCAGCATTTCCCAGAATGTGCCACAGGAGAGTGTTGATGGCTGTCATCCGAGAGCTCAGGACGGGGAGGCACCAATGCCTAATGAGTCTGGTGAACACAGGTTTGGATGGTGTAGATGTTCCTGGAACCTTTTAGGGGGAAGCAGGACATACCTCCTTTTTTATTCCTTCGTGGTGCTGGGGGTAGAACACGGGCCTTGTCATACTAGGTACCTGCACCCCCACTGAGCCACACGCCCAGCCCCAGCCCTCGTGGATATTTCTCCAGGAATGATGTCCGCTGGAAAATGCTGCCTCATCCCTTATACAATGATCCTAATGCTCACCTCTCATCCACCCCGCAAGCATCAAGCGCTAAAGGCAACATGAGCACCAGGTTGAGAAGGGGGTGCAGGTGGTGGCCCAAGCCACTCAGAGCTCACTGACTCCCATCTAGACCACAAATCTGTCAGGTAACAGCACACAATGGAATCTGTTGGGAAAACTCAAGGATGATAGAAATTGAGCGTGCCTGGTGAGGGTCCAGAGCTCTCCTCTATCTTTCTATGTGCCTTTGTCTGGCTTCCCTGATGTCAGGAAACGAGCCTGTGCAGTAGCTCTTCACCAGGAAGCTGAGAGGACACTGCGGATGGGAAGCCCAGCATCCAAGCAGTGGCCTTGCTGTGCCCATGATTCAAGCCAAGGCAATTTGGGGAGAGGAAGGCGCTTGCATGAGACAGGTAGGCGGCCCCTCGCTTTGTTCACATGCTCTGGGGATGTCTGCTTTACCTGCACGAAGCTGAACTCTCTCCAGTTGAGCGAGTTTGCAATGGATGGTAATGAGGCGATGGCCAGCAGGGACAGCGTACCGAGGGCCAGCACTCCCAGTGAGAGGTATATCTCCATGCGCCAGACTTCCTCCTCTACCCAGAGGTGGCTCTTGTTGGCCAAGACCTGGCACGGACAGAAGGAACAGCATCAGCAGTGTGTCTCGGCTGGAACCCTTGGGATGTGGTGAGCCAGTGCTGAAAGAAACAGTCAGCCAGAGCTGCCTATTATGTCCCACCTGACATCCGACAAGCGCCTGGCTATGTGTGAAGTGCTGCTTGGGTGTTACTGACCCATTTCACCTCGCAGCCAGCCCAGGAGGGGTCATTATTAACCCAATCTACACAGATGAGGAAGCCAAGGCAAAGACCAAGTCCACGGGCTTCTCTAGGCTCCCACACGTCTATCTGCCTGGGGGAGAGCCAGCCAGAAGGGTCACACTGGCTGAAAGTAAGGAGTCAGGGAAGTTGACAGGAAATACAGACCTTCCAAGCATGACTGTACCATATGGTTTTCTGGTCCCCGGATCATAGGACAACAGAGAGACACTGTACAGCTTGGAACTCCTCAGTGAGATGGGCCAGCTCTGCTGGCCATGTCCCCTCTAGGTGGGCAGGCCCCTGGCACTCTGGTCACTCAGTCTGCCCCATCATTGGCTCAAAATACACAAAGACACACAAGAAGTTCCATTTGAATCAGTTATTCCCCTTCTAGTATCTTCCTGAAAGATGGAAAGACATACTATAGTGATACTTGCATACCCATGTTTATAGCAGCAAAATAGATAAGTCTTAGAAGCAGCCTATATGTCCTTCAACAGATGAATGGATAAAGAAAGGATGGTATTTACACACAATGGAGCGCTACTTGGCTATAAAGAAGGATAAACGAGTTGTTTCCAAGAAAATGGATGCACACTGAGAACAGAATGTTAAGTGAAATAAATTAGACCCACGTTTAAATACTGCACAGTGTCTCTTATATGAGAAACTCAAAATATAAATAAAGAGCAAAATAAAAGGGGTAATAGGAAGTAGAGAGACAGATTTTATTTAAATGACAAGAGGATCAAGAGATGGAAAGAGGGGAAAGGGAATGAAAAAAAAGAACCAGCTCTCCACAAGGAATGTAATCATAATGAAAATACATTCTAATAAAAAATAGGAAAAAGATCAAAACCAAAACCCCACAAAGACACACACAGACACTCACCCTCAACACTTTTAACTGGAAGCCCCCAGCCCCTCGCTTCCCACCTGCTTGTCTGTTTCTGCTGGGGCACACGGCTTTGGCTGGACTGGTGGCGGGCAGGGGAAACCCACAGAGGCTGCTGTCCAGCAGCTCTGTGAGCGCCCAGGAAGTACCTGCTGTGGGTACCTGCCTGGGGTTGCAACCAATGACCCCCTCAGGGCTCTGGGGTCCCCTGCTGAGCTCCAGGCTGCGTAAGTGGGGAAGCAGTTGGATGGCTCTACAAGACTGTAAACCCATCCCCATCTTCCCACGTGGACAGCCAGCACCAGGCCCTCTGGCCTGGCGACACGCGGCAACACATCGGCAGCACAGCAAGCACAGGGCGGAGTGTGTCAGCCCCTTTGGTGGGACCACCATCTCCCAACTCGCTCAGGTAGCTGAGCTCCCGGAAGTCAGGGTGCCCTCTGAGAAGCCCTGGGAAGCGCTGGTGGTTTTCTTCTGCCAGGGCAGTGCTTCTCTCAGAAAATATGACTCTCCTTTTAGCAGGCTGGTCCCCACCTCTCAAAACAGGACGACTCCTGTGCGTTTTTTGAGAAAAGACTACAGCAGGGGGTGGAGGGGTGGGGGAAGTTAAGCCCGCTTACCAGAGGAAATATTAAAGATGAATCTAGGGCCTCAGCAAAGGCGGTTGACAAGCTTATGAGAGGAAGTGTAAAGAAACCGAGAAAACACCACCCTCTGGGCACTCTGCCTGTACTCTGTGAACGACGACTCCCGCTGTGTTGTCAGAGCAGGCTGGCTTACGTTGGCATCTCTAAGCCACAGAGGGACCAAGAGTCTGGGACCCTACTTCTTGTCCTGACCACGAGTTGTGTGTGACTCTGGGCATGTCTCTGTGCCTCAGTTTCCCTCTCTGGGAGATTCGGATGATGTCATGTCTGAAACTTTACCACCTTGCTTGTGTGCCTTGTGCAGTGGAAACAGCTAGGGCAGCTTTCATTAGAAGGCGCTGACCAAGCTCTGGCCAAGGTGACCCGCAGAGGACACAGGTCTCCTCTGTATCTGTGCCCAAAAGAGACGTACTCACTGGCGGCTGTGCTAACCATCGCTGCTAAGTCAGTCATCTCCGCGTGGCCAGCTGTTTGTTCTTCAACTCTACACCATTAGTCACTCCTAGCCACCTTTGAGTCAGATCAGGCCGGTAAAGTCACAAGTCAGGGTCCGCACAACTGCACACATGCACACACAAGCTCGCGAATGGCTTGTTTCTTCTGGACAGTTCTACTCTGCGGTGATGCTGGGAAGGGAAGAGAAGGCATGACGTGCTGTCTGGCCAGGAAGCCGTCTGAGGATCTGCACACCAGTGAGTGTCACATGCTGCCCTAGGGATGCTCCCACGTCCACAGCAGAGCAAAAGATGGGGTGGCCATGTGTGCTTCAGTCTTCAGGGGTGAAAACCACAGCGCGGTATTTTTCCTCCTTCAGGAAAGCGGTTGTCAACCAGAGATGGGAAGATGGCATCCAGAGGTGGGATTTTCTTTTCACTTAGGTTGCAGGTTAACACCACAGGACGTGGGGGCGGGGAGCAAGGCTGCAGCACCATCCCCTCTCCCAGTCACCATGGTGGGCGGCAGGGAGGAAGAGGGTGGTACCCAGTCTCCCCACCCAGGGGAGGAAGGGCAGGGAGTACAAGAGCAGCCTGGGTAATGCAGCCAACGTGTCATCCCAGAGCCTGGATTCTGGTGCCAGCTCTGCCCTGGGGGCAGTCATGAGGCCCAGGCAACTCACCACTGGGCAGTTGTCACCTTGATAACAGTGCCACTGTCTCTCTCTGACTGTTACAGCAAGGACTATAAAAGGATGATGTCTGCCTGTATTCCCACATATCCAAGAAGCTGAAGCAGGAGGATTGTAAGTTCAAGAGGAGCCAGAGAAAATTAGTGAGACTATGTCTTGAAAGAAAGAAAGAAAGAAAAAGGAAGAGAAAGAGAGAGACAGAGGAGGGAGGGAGGAAAGAAAGGAACGAAGACAGACAGACAGAAAGAAAACCAAAACCAAAAGGATGCTCTTTGTGAAATGAGTACCATATGACTTGCACATCATAAGTGCTTAATATAATAAATGGCTGGTGCTGTTGTTTCTAGTGGAAGCTGGCCAGTTAACTGAGTTCTTGCCCCCAGCTCTATTCATATTCTTCTTAAGAGATGCCTGGTACCGGCTTCATCATAGCCAGTTTCAGTCATTCACAGTGGACATACACTGGGAAGCACCCTCTATTAGGAATCCTGGACCTCAAGGTGTGGAAGAGCCAGACTGAGTGGTATATAAGAAAAACGATAGAAATGTGTACAAAAGGGGCTGGGGATTTAGCTCAGCGGCACAGTGGCTGCCTGGCAAGGGCAAGGTCGTGAGTTCGATTCCTGGTACTGGAAAAAAAAAAAGACCAGAAATGTGTATAAAATACAGCAGCTCACCGAGGTGGGTATGGGATGTGGGAAGATAGGCTGGGAGAATCTTTACAGAAGTAGGGTTTTGGGGAGGAATGAGAGTTTGCCAGATGTCAAGCTTTCCTAGTACAGGTATTCCAGGCCAAGATGAGTGAGCTCTGGACACTTGGTGGCCAGCGAGGAAGCAAGGGTGATAGGTCACAGGAGAAGTGGGGAGATGAGGTTGGGGAGGGAATGTGGCTTCATCTTGAAGGCCCACCATTATCCTGAGGGCAGCGGGGAGTCCTTGCTTCTCAGGGTGACATGGTTAGTGGGTTTTACACTGATCTTTGACAGTCACGTGCCGATTGGATTTGGATGAGGGGACTAGGAAAACAGTGCCCAGGTTAAAAACTGTCCTTGATTTTGATCTTGAAACGCATCTCTAGGGAACAGCACACATAAGCCAGCAAGGGCCATACAAACGTCAGTCGCTGGTAATCATATGGCCCACAAAGGTCTCAAAAGTCTTCTCTAGTGCTGGCACCCAGGTCTGTGTTCAAGTCTGCAGACTCAGGGGCTCCAAGGAAACCCTGGAGGAGGTTCCTGCGCCCAGGCTAACACAAGCACGGTACCCAAAGGGCCCAGTGAGCAGCTGGGAGAGAGCAGAGGGACAGCAGCCCTCTAGGTGGGGACCATGGAAGGGGACCACGGCAGGGGACCACCTGCTGCTAGGGCACAGCTCACCGGACTATGCAGCAACTGCTTAATGCCCCCTCAGGGCTGTTACATGTTAAACCTATCCCCTGGCTCTGCCCTTGAGAACTCTGCAGAAGAGGCGAAGCCCCTGTGCAAGACAAGCTTCCTCGCAGCTCTGAGAGTGAGCTGTCCTATGGGAGGTGCGGTTGCCTGGCAACCTGGACTGGTGCCTGCAGCCCTAAAGGGCTTTGGAACCTGGAGAGCTGCCCCCACCCCCGCAGGGGCCTGGGCATTGGCATGGGGTGGAATTGAGTTAACAGAATATCAAGGCGAGCTTAGCTTGGCGGAGAGTTTGGAGAAAAGCAGCTGGGCAACTATCCTCGGGGATGAGCAGGAAGCAGTGGTTGATCTTATGCCGTGTGGGTGGATGGTGTCACCTTCTTCCCAAGTACTGCCTGACACAGCCACCAACTCAGAGCAGAGGGCGCCCCACCTCCTGGGCCACAAGTGCTGTCCCAATCCCCCAGGACCCCCCTGGAACCCCCTGCCAAGTGGGCTGGCTTTTTTTAGAAGCGAGTAAGAAAACATCACCCAAGATCATCAAATACATTAGCAGTGGGAAAGACCTTGAGCTGCACATCAGGGGCCCGAGGACAAAGAGGGCCTAGAACTTGCTCCAGGTCAATATCTCTGTTCTAATCAGTGATGCCGCAGGACAAGAGCTCCCAGTTCAGGTCTACCAGCCTCCAATCCACCCACCCCAGCTCAGGCGAGGGAGGAGATTCTGCCTTTCTTCCTCCTCTCTGCGGCTGCAGGGCCGGTTAGGGTAGCTGCTTAGTGAGTAAATGAATTACTCACCTGAGTTCTGAGACCATTTACGGAACTGGCAATTTGGCTTGGTTTTCCTTCGGAAAGCAGGATGTGTTCAAGCATGGATCTGGAATGGAACGGCTGGTTCTGAACTCCAGGTCCACTACCTACTGCCTGTGTGACTTTGGTCAAGTAACTTAACTTCTCCATGCCTTAGTTTTCTCATCTATAAAATGAGGGTAGTACAGCCCTTGCCTTATGGAATGAGACGGGCATTAAATGAATTCAGACTGGGTACAGGGAGCTCTTGAATGGCACCTGGAATATATCAAGCGCTTTTTTCAGGGTTCATGACTATTCTTTTCTCCCTTCCTCTCATTCCCAGCAGGCATCTTGCTTCTGCTCCTGACGTCTGGGGTTCTTGCTTTTTCCTAGGGAAGCTGGAGCCCACAGAGGCGGTGATGCCAGGTGTCCGTGGGTGGGGAGATGAGGGCCTCTGAGAAGCTGTCAGCAGGGAAGCGGAGCCCAGAGTCAGCAGGAGCAGAGGTCTGATGTTCCCAGGCCCGGCCCAGCCTTGCCCACCAGTCCCCTCGGCCCCCATCCCATGAGGGCTGGCCTGTGGAAGGTGTGCGCAGGGAGGCCCGCGCATCCTCGGCAGGATGAGGTGCTGCAGGGCCACCCGGCTGGACTGAGTGAGGATGAGACGGGCACCTGGGCTGGCCTGGGCTGCTGGACTGGGCAGGGCTCACACACCAAGGGGTCCAGGGCTGGCGCCCGGAGGGGCTTTGGTAGGCTGACAAAAAGAAGGACAGTCACACCACTGCTTGCAATCCTTAGCTCAGGACTGAGACCCAAGAACCTGGGTGCTTGGAAACCAGGAGGGAGCATCATGCCAATTTCTGTGCATACAGCTGCCAGCTGACGCCGTCTCTGTTCCCACCTGGCATGGCCTGATGGCCCCCAGTTTCCCAGGAATCCTGCTGGTGAGGGAGTACCATATGGCTTTTCTAAATGAATAAATAATGCCACCTACCACCATCCAAATAAAAAACCCAGCACCAGAAACACCCACTCCTGAGGCCCTCCCCATCGCAGTGAGGCAGCTCCGTCCTTCCCTGAGCGCAGACCAAAGCCCAGACTCTGCCTTGACCACCCTGCCCCAGCCCACACCCATCACGTCACTAAGTCTGTGCACTCCAGCTTCAAAGCTGGCCCTCGACAGCTTCCTGCCCTGCTGCTACACCCAGCCTGCTCCCAGCTTCCCAGCCTCCCAGCCTCGACTATGGGTTCCAACACTGCCCCTTCCTGGTCCCAGAGTGTCTGCCTTTACCTGTTTGTCAGTGCTGAGCCCAGCAGCCACAGTGAGCAGATAAGAGCATCAGACACATCATCAGTCCTCAACTCAAACCCTTCACCGGCTCCCTGGGTCCCTCAGGGGCTGTGGTCAAAGCCCTTCCTTGGCCTTCAAGGCCCCCAGTCTGGCTTCCACCTCTCAGGCCTTGGCCTCCACAGGCTCCAGCCCCACAGGCCTCCTGGATGCCAGGTCTGCTCCTACCTAACGGCCCTGCTCTTGCTGCCTCTTCGGTCTGCAACACTCCCAGCTCACTCTCCCTTGTGTCACACCAGCAAGGCCTCCCTGGCATTGCTAACACCGCCCCTTCCACCCTCCCAGCTTCGCTTTGCTCCTTAGTGCTCATGACCTACCAAATGTCTGTTCTCTCTTGACCTGTTCTTGTGTAAGTCTGTACCCAGGAGGGCGGGGGTCTTTCTCTGCTCCACTCCCTAATACTCAGAAGCCCGGACAGCAGGATGGGGGTACTGCCCAGTTGGAACAGAGTCTGCGCCTGGCCCCTGGTGTATGTGCAGGCCCTGGGGACGAGGGGAGGAGGGCAAGGGTGGCACCTGCTTGACGGCCAGGTTGACCAAGTCGTAGCGGTGAGAGCGGCGCAGTGGCAGGCAGAAGCTGTAGAGCGCGTGCAGAGCGGCGCAGAAGAAGCTGAGCAGCCCGATCTGCTTGCGGTGCTGCAGCCAGTGGTCCAGCCAGTCGGGGAAGCGGTGGTACTTGGTGCCCCGCCGCAGCTGCAGGGCGGCCGCCAGCACGCCGGGCAGGTACACCAGGGACAGCAGCACGTAGGCCACGCACGGCAGCGTGGTGTTGACCACAGACACCGGCAGCCTGTAGAACTTGTTCTTGCTCTCCTGCACGTAGGGCTGCAGCACGTCCCGGGTGAAGTTGTAGGCAAAGAAACACACAAAAAGCCCCAGGGCCAGGAGTGCGGGCACCTTCCAGGCTGGCAGGAGGCGCAGTGGCATGGCTTCCACCTCGCGGGCTGATGCCAGGGAGCCCATGTCCAAGGGCATGAAGCCCATGGCATGAACCATCTCTGAGATGGTGCGCTTGGCTTCTGGGTGGTCACTGCAGATGGGCACCTGTAGGGTGAAAGGAGAGGATAATCAGGTAGAGTCATAGGACCCTGGAGTAGGCAGGGCCTCAGGACCACACAAGCTCAACTCCTCATTGAGTAGCTGAGGGAACTGAGGCCCAGAGCCGTGTCCGAGTGACTGCCAGGAGATAGTGCAGCTGGGAGCACAGGGAGGCTCTGACTCCCGGGCCAGGGGGTTTGCAGGGCACTGGTGGCCTCCAGCCTCTGGCCCAATGTGCCTAGGAAGGCCCATCACTCACAGTAAGTATCCAGCCCAGCTCGCTGACAACAGCCACGGCAACATGCCCACCCAGGCAGCCCCCTGGCTCTTGGAGCGGCAGCTTCCGAGGACTGTGGCCTGCTCTGGCCGCTCCTCCATCCCTCAGTACAAAAGGGTCCCCTTGGTTTCACAGGGAGCCCTCCACCAGCCAGTCTTGCCTGCCTTCTCAGCCCAGAGGCCCAGTGTTCCTCATGAGCTCCCGCTGAAAGAGCAGAAGTGTCCTCACACCTCTCTGTGGGCCTTGCTTGACTCTGCTAGAGCCAGTCTGGTCCCCAGAACTTCCTGAGCACCTAGTCTGAGCCAGGCTTCACACACATGATCTGCTGGCCCACAGGTAGATACTGCTGTCCTTATTTTTCAGATGAAGAAACTCAGACCTGGGAGCACTCTTTCGTACCTCTGTGCCTCTGTAGACTGTCCCCTCATGCCGGAATACCTTCCTTGCTCCGTGAGCCTCACACAAGATGAGCTGAAGTACAAGCCTACCTCCTAGTCTTCTCCAACTGGTCCTGTACCCAGCCATCCCCCATGTGTGAGCCCCAGGGTGCGGCTGCTTTCCAGGCCCTGAAGCCAGAGCCAGGGAGCCCCTGTGGATTCTCCCCTGGAGCCTAGCACCTGCCTGCACTTCCTGGATGTGTGTGTGGATCTGACATTCTTCCATAGGAAGGGGCAGGCGGCCTTTGGCATTAAACACCATTTTCTCTTAGGAAAACTCCCCCTGCCAAGAAGTGTGTGCGACTCTGGCTATGCTGTGAAGCCACTTTCCAGCTCCAGAAAACTTGCTTTGGGCTGTTCTGAGAAATTCACTCTAAGAGTTCACTGTTCCTGGAAGCTCTTAGAATTAGCCAAATAAAATTTGGAACTTCCTTGCCTTCCTCAGGGCCTGGCACCTAAGTGTGTTACTTTCCTCTTTCTGAGTCCAGTTTTATAAGCAAAGTCTCTCTCTAATTTCAAATAATCAACAAGCCATTACCTTTTCCACCTCGGCCCCTAGGAAACCTAACCCCTTCACAGAAAGAACATGGATTTAGAGCCACATGAAGAGGGCTCAACTCCCAGCTCAGTAGCTGTGGGTTCTTGGGTATGATCATTAATATCTCTGACCTTCCGTTTCCTGCCCTGTAAAATGGAATTTTGCAGTAACATGACATTAGCTGGGATAAAGCACACACAAAAAAGCTGGCCTACTAATGGCCTTCAAGGAAAATGAGCCACTTGTATTTATTGTTATGATGGCGGTGATCTCTCTGGCACTCACCTGCCTGTTGCCATCCCTCGGGCCAGCCTGCAGGGTCCAGGCAGAGATGACATTGAAGGCCTTGACCACGGCACAGGTGGGGAAAAGCGAGGCCAGGTACTCTGCATTGGACTCGCGATGCCGGAGGTGCTCTTGCTCCGTGGGGTTGCTCACGTCCACCAGGATCTTGCCGGTTAGCTGGTCACTGAGGCCACACAGCGAGGAATAGTGCTCCCGAAACACAGCCACAAAGATGACCCCTGGGGAGCTCACTGCCTCCTCCTGGAAGGTCACTTGGGTGGATGAAGGGAACAGCCCGGCTGTGCGTTTGGGGTTGCGGCTCCCCACCACCACGCTGAAGCCAGAGCCCACCAGGCGTGTGGCCAGGGAGCGGGCAAAGTCCCCGCTGCCCAGGATGCCCACTTTGGGGGCCCCACTGGGGGGCTCAGCAAGGCTCCCATCGCTATCCACCAGGTGGTGGCTGATCAGGGGTTTATCCATCTCTCCTGGCATTCTGGCGGCTGCAAGAGAAGACAGGAACCTGGTCACTGGAGGGCTCCCGGGCTGCCCCTCCTGTCACCCTCTTCCTCTTGTCCAACTTTTGCCCAGCATGAAGTGCTATGCGGTGCTAGCAACAAGGAGCAAACCGAGCAAGGCCAGCCCTGCCCCAGCAAAGGCAGAGACACAGAAAAGCAGGGGAAGGACTTCTACCCTCCACCCTTTGTCCCTCCTGTGAATTATTTCCTCAGGATACCCGGGCAGGAGGGAGAGTGCTGGGAAAGGAGAGTGTGGAATTTCTGTGCCCGATGCTGTGCAGCACCATGCACAGAACTATGCAGTGGACAGATGGTGTCCCTGGCTGGGAGTGGCCATCCAACCCTAAGCTCATCGCCGCTGGGCATTGTCTGTGATGAGCAGCAACGCAAACACGTTCCTGTGGTGCCCTCGCTGTGCACCATGGAGCAGTGAGTCTGCTCCTGCTTTTCCCCAAGAACACCTTGTGGCAGGACCCTTTCTGACAGGACCTTAGCGTTTGTCACTGGTCTGGCACAGACGTGGTACTCAATGTTTGCCAAATGAATGGATGGGTGAACCAAGCCTATTCCCTAAGAGTCCTGGGAGACATGAAGAAGAACAGGACTGAGACGGACAGTGCCCCGGGCTCTCCTCCAATGGGCCTGAGAAGAAGAGTACAGTGACCTCAGATGGAGGAACCACACTGTAATTTCTCCAACTTCTGCCAGAAATTAGCCACGTTCTTTGAGGGTGAAGGTAAGAAACAAACCACAGTGCTAGCAGGACACATGGGTTTGTCACCAACACAGACCCAGGTCCAACCCCCAAAAGAGTTCTCTGAATGCTACTTAAACCCATCACTAATTTTAATTTATGGTAAATATTAGACCTACCACTAGATCTTGTTTATTAATTAATGTGTTCATACAAAAGTATACATATTATTAAAGTGCATGTTCTTCAAAGAACTAGTAACTGCCTCATAGTCGAGCCCCTGTGGAACCCCAGAGCACTGTAGTTTGTGCCTATCACATTATTGTGAGCAGAAGTCCAGGGGCTTTAGCAGCCTGTGGGTTCACCGGCGTTCCCGGCACAGAAGGATTAAGAAGCCATGTCCGGCCCTAGGCTACGGTGCACACTTGCAATCCCAGCTACTCAGGGGGCTGAGGAAGGAGGATGACAAGTTCAAGGCCAGGCTGGGCAACTTAGCAAGACCCTGCTTAAAACAAAAAATAAAAAGGGCTGAGGGCTTGTAGCTTAGAGATGCCTGTAGGTTTCATGCCTAGCATTGAAAAAGAAAAGAATAAGGAAAAAGAGATCAAAAAGTCTTCCTGGAATCTCTGGGGCGACAGGGGTGGCTGTGAACATCTCGCACGTGTCTACCTTTTCCCACTCTTCCATGGCAACCTCCTGGGACCCATCAATTATCAACACTGGGAGAGGCAGAGGGACCACAGGCTCTAGGGTCGTGGAGTAAGAGGACCAGAAGGTGAGGCCGTGTCCTGGGACAAGTCCCTGTGGCTCTCTGAGCCCAGCTTCCACCTTTGTTACAGAAATCACTTGTTCCGATCTCAGATGACAACTATTGCAGTCTTATAAGGTTTTAAAAAGTGAGATATGGATCTCTTAAAAGGCAGCAGCAGCCACTCCTGTTTACGGGGTGCCTGCCATGTGCCAGACGTGGTTATACATCCTCTCAGTGATGGCGACCAAGATCCCTCCCCAGTGACGCCACAGAGTAGGCACTGCTATTCCTCCCAGTGTAAAGAGAGGGGAATGGAGGCTGGCATTGAGGCCTTGCTCAAGGCAGCACAGACTGCGAGCAAGGGCTGTCTGCCTCCAGGCCCCAGCTTCATTCAGTCCTGTGGCCCAGGGGACAGTGAGCTGTCTGCACAGATGCTCCAGAGGCAGGGACACCTGGGCTGAGGAGAGAGGTCAGGGTGGCAGGGGCTGCACTGAGCGTCCCTCCAGGGAGAGGAAACAGTTCCCATCCTGCGTCTGCCCCCTTAACCTCTCACAGATCTTTAAAGTGGTTCTGAAACATCATCCGGCCTCTGTCATGAGACAGCAGGGACTGGAACTGTTTCGGGGGGAGCACACTTCCTGAGTCTAAGGACACAGACAGGTACCAGCCACAACCACACCCTGCTACAGACAGACCTGACCTTACTGCAAAATGGGAGAGGGTGCTTCCTGCCAGTTCCGGGAGCACTTTCCAAGGGGGTGATGCGCTACCCCTTGTGGATGAAAGCAAGCCTCCTGCTGCACCCCCATGCCCACCCAGTGCAGCCTTGGAGCTGTGTGCTTGGGCAGAGAGGGCTGTGCTAGGCATGGTAGGCCAGACCTCCTGGATTCCGAGTCTGACTCTGTCAAGTGCTGAGTGACTTCGGGCCTGTTAGTCCCTCGATTTCCCCAGTTATAAAAGGGGGACAGTCCTAGTACTGTCTTCCTACTGGGAGGCTGTAGGAGTAAAAAACAAAGGCTGGCACACAATAAGCACTCGGCCAGGATTATTCAGGAATTACGAAGCAAATCCTCGTTCCCAGAAGCAGAAGGCGAGCTGTGTACCAGCAGTGGGTATGTGGTAGAGAAAGGGAGTGGGAGACCCTGCCTGTGCCCTTCCAGCCCTGCCTAAGGAAGACAGCCAGAGCTGGGTGGGAGGAGAATGTGGGCGGAACAGGGCAGGCCACCACTAGGGATCCTCCCAGGGCCTCCACTGTCCCTGTAGCTCAGAGGATCAAGGTTTCCCTTGTGGTCAGTGAGAACGGGACAGGCACACCCAGGCCTTTCCTGGTCACTGCCAGGCCACCTGGAGTGAGGGGAAGTCCTGCCCTGAAGGGGAGGGAAAGAGGAACATGAAGGCTTCCAGACTGCTGGTGCCACATTTGCCAGAAGTATGAAGGGTTCTAAACGTTCCCCTCCTGGATGAAGCCTGTCCTCTATCTGCGCTTTCTCCTTCCCATCTCCTAGCTCTGCACTGAGCACAGAGGGCTGTAAGGCTGGGTGAGACTGGGCCCCGCTCGGATGGGTTGTAGCGTGTGTACAAGGGGCATGGATACGCTCTGTCCACTGAACACTGGACACTGGCTGCGGGGATTGGGGCCCAGGAGCAGGACAGGCCCGGCTGGACCTCTGGTCCACGGAGGCGAGGCTACCTGTCATCTGACAGTACTTGAAGAGGCCTGATGGTTTACCACCTCAAGTCAACACAGAGCCCCCCAAGGTGAGGAACAGCATCAGCCTCAGACTTGCCTAGCACCCATGATGAACCCCAGATTTAGCATCCTGGGTAAAGCTGGCCCTCAAAGACACTGCTCAGAATCTGATTTGATTTCTGGTCCTTTTAAGGTTAGCTGAGAAAGAGGTCATCACAACATAGTGAAGTCACAGGCAGGGGTTGGGGGCCTGGGCTGGCCCCATCTCTGCCCCCAACCAGTGATGAGACCCAGGAGTATCATCGAGCCTTTCTAGGTGGCTTCTCTGAAACAAGTCACTGCACCAGATTATCTCCAAGTCCCTCTCAGCTCCAGCACTCAAGCAATCTAGTAGAAGTCCAGACTTAGGTCCTAAGGGGCCCTACTTTCAACCACAGGACGAACAGGAACCTGACATAACATACCTCTAAGGTCCTTCTCGCTACCAAATTTGGTCCTTGGGACAAGAAAACCCCAGGTTGTCATGCGTCCTTTTGAGTCCTCCCTCTAACCCCGGGCTAGCTCTTTCCTCGTCATTTCTGAGGCAAAGACAGAGCCACCTGGGTAGGGGAACCAGTTGAGCAGGTGGTTAAAGACACTGGATGCAGGCCAGGCTGTTGCTTAAACCATGGCCATAACCACCACTAACTAGCTGGCACTCTTGAGCAAGTTCCTTAGCCTTTGTGTGCCTTAGTTCTCCTACCTTTAAAGTGGGGACATTGACTGTTTCTCCCTGAGGGCTGCTGTGAGATGAAATGAGCTCAGAGCTGTCCTCTAAAACCGGTGTGTGTGCAATGTGCACTATCCTCTGACTTCTACGTGGGGGAGTGATGTCACATCCATCTGCCTTCCCAGCCCCCAGCTGGTGTGGGGGGGTGGACAGGACAGGTGGCCCATGTCCTGGAGGTCCCCAAGGCCCAGCACAGCCCCCTTCCTGAGCCTGTGGCCTGAAATTAGGGTGTGATTAATCCTGTCTGAGCCACTGTCTGGGCCAGGCTCCACGCCCGAGGAGGTTCTATTTAGAGATCCATGAGGAAGTGAGGATGGGATCAAATTGCAGCAGGTAACCTGGGCTTAAACCACCTTTGCAAACCACCTTTCCAGGCTGTGGTTAAAGGGCACTGATGCTTGGGCCTGTAACCTTTGGCCCCTGCCCTGGCTTGTCTATCCCTCCTACCTCCTCAGCAAAAAACAGGCTACAATTGTGGTAGGAGCCACGGCTGGCCCACAGGCCTGCCTGCCAGTAACAGCCCAGGCCATTCATGGTGATACAATCTTTTTTGCTTGAGCAGCAACAGCCTTGCAGACATGGATTTGCCTGGGCAGGCCGCTGTTTATCCTCTGGGGGTGGAAACTACCAAAATGCAGCATATACTTTGAGAAGTCATCATATCCTCCTCACCCAGAATTCAGGGATTACCCTAAGTGCTTGGACGGTCCACTATGTTATCCTTTTTTTCCCCTTCAGTGCTGTGGAAACCAGGGCATTGTGTATGCTAAGTTATAATTTTTTATTTTTTGAGACAGGCTCTCACTATGTAGTCCAGGCTAGTCTTGAACTCACTGTGTAGTCCAGACTGGCCTTAAACTCACAGTGATCCTCCTGCCTCAGCCTCCTGAGAGCTGGGATGACAGGCGTGCACCACCACGCCTGGCTTAAATTATGATTTTGTGCAACATTTTCAGAGGTTCTCTACTTCCTCCCTCATTGTCAGGACTTTGTCAAAGCTGTCTGCCTGTGCAAGACCCTTCCCCACAGCCCAGGTCCCTGCTCATTCTCTGCAGACAAGAAATTCCCAGAGCACACTATC